GAAGGAGCAGGAAGTCTAAAATTCTCCCCAGAATATCCTGTTTCAGAATGAAAATTCAAATCAGCCCCTCCCGAAGACATACCCCTGGGCCGCATGAAGGACTTAATCTCACCCTGAATCAGGTCTCGGACAGCTTCCACAGAGAGTGGCTCCACCCCCACCCAGACTGCAGACCTCTACTAGATAAAAAGGAGGAATAGACGAAAGCTGAGTAGCCTCTATGAAACCATTACACGGGAATTCATATCCATTTTTTTTCCTTTTTTGTAATATATTTGTAGGCAAAAACAAAAAATAATTCAATGAAATATATCTCTGGATAATAAAACAAAGAACTCCAGATTATTAGAAATCAAAAACTAAGACAATGTAAGTCACAAAACATTAGTCTCAATGCTCGCACTTTGTCGAGAAAAAGTTATTTTATTGTCTGCATACAGTACTTATATACATTACCTGCATAGAGGGCATGTGAGGGCTGGTATAAAGTTTTGCAAATTAGATATTGCCAAGAGCAGTCAAGTAGGGTATATAAAGACTGGAGCAAGCAAACACAACGTTAGATGGGAAAGATGAAGATCGAGAAATAGCTATTAGTGTCAGCAGAGGTATGTATGTGTTGGAACATTGTTTTCCTCATGTCTTTTTTTTCTTTCTTATCACGTGTTGCCTGTCTATCATGCAAAGTGATATTCATTTTAAGATTAAACATACTTTTATGCATCAGAAAATTTTGAAATTTCACATGCAAAATCTGTATAAAGTTGAGATAGTTATCAAACGTTTTTTAAGAAAAACTATATTTTATCTATTATCTTCAGTAATTAATCTCTGTATGGGTTTAGTAGATTTGACCAATCTCACAACCACCATAAAAAATTATGCCTCTTTCATTCTGGAATGAACATAAATTATAACACGAAAACATAAATGTTTGGACCAAATAGCTTAAATCTCATAACATTATACATTTATATATATTTATTATTTTTATTATATTGACCTTTCAGCCATACCTGGCTAACAATACAGAAGTTACAATGACACAGCTCACGTGCACTCATGTTACTGTATCAAATAACATAGAGATGACCTTTGGTCTGTGCAAAGTAACTAGTTTTGGCTGTGTTTTAGTGGACTAGTATTTTGTAAAATACAGTCAAATTTCAATTATTATACATTATATATGTATATAGATTATTGCTATTTTGAAATAAGTTCTTAAACTTATTTTTCTTAAAACATAGAACAAAATGTAGAAGTAAAGCAAACAATTATTTCTTTTAGTTATGACCTTTGTACTCGGTTGTTGCTTCACGTAGGTTGCTAAGCCTTTAAAACAATTGCATGTGGAGGATATGAAACAAAATATTTTTTTAGGTTTTATATATGCATTTGAATAATTAAAAAATCATAAATTACTACATTAATACCACAGAATTACACTATAATTTATCAAGCTTAGTAACTAAGATGTATTTTAGTTGTTGAAATATTGGTTCAAAAGAAAGAAATGGCACCAAGTCCATTACAATGGTTGAGAACGTCACTAGGGGGCCATTCTGAGCTTCTGATTGGTTATTCATGTCATATATAGAAGTGTATATAAGGGAGCATTTCCAAAAATTGAAAGAGGTGGTCGAGGTGCCACTGTGTTTCATTCATTACATGAGCACTATCTTAGCAAATTTTATCTTATTTTATATTCTTATAATCTTTATATTTATAATCTTTATATTTTTATAATCTTATTTTATATTCTAGCTTGTCAATATCATTAATTTGAGTTTCTAATTCATACAAAACTATATATTTAGTATTTTGACTTCACATACATCTAATTGAACCAGTGTTGCATTCAACATACCACGTGACACACAAAAAATCTATGTTTATCTGTGTTTGTTTAATATTTGCTTTTAAATTAAGAAATTAAGTAATACGTAGTACTAAAATTCAAATTATAATCTACAATTTGATACCAAACTTATTGATATAAATTCATGAAATAGTAGTTCAATAAACTTTTGAATGCAAGACGACAAACAATAGCCTTTCACTCATGACCCGTCTCAAAAGGGTTAACAAATCCCCAGCACAAATGCGAGGGGGGCAGTGTCTAGGACAATTACACACACACAAAAGGAAATATACAAGTGTCCTGACTGGAAAAACCACTCAGACACCGAGTATCCTGTTAGGAGAGAGGAACTGTGGAGGTTTTTCTTTAATTAATGTAATTGATTTTACCTGTTATGGAGTTCACCTGGATTTGATATGCACCAAAGAAAGTAAATAGAATACCTACTCAGAAGAAACAAAAATATGATCTCAGTAAAAATTTAAAAGCATATTTGAATTAGCTACACACTGGCCTGCAGAATGTGCTCAATTACATTTTTGGTGAAATAAAATCCAAAATTTACTCTTAAAGTCAACAGATACACCATAATTTTGAAGACAAAAAGTTTGGAAATGATCTGTAAACAACAGCGAAAAAGAGATTGATGGCTCCCATGGAATTTTAAAAGGTGGCAGATAATGCCTGTTATAGAAGAAGCTGATAAGCCATAATCATGAAACAAATATATCAAAAAGGAAGCAATTTATTAAGGAAGAAGAGAAAGACAAGATTTAGAATGTTTAATGCATCAACTCTGAAAGATAGCACAATGAGATTGATGGACAACAATGAACAAGAATGGGCTAACATTCAAGACAAATGGGAAGAAAATCCTGTGTTTCTGACAAACAACCAAATAACAGCTGTAAATTTTTGAAAGTCAATGAGAAAATTCACAATCATGACTGATACATATGTTCTCATGGTTGTAATGAGATCAGATCTGCATGAGATAAATGATGCAACATTGGAAACCATGGCTGGGCCAGCTAGAGTTGAGCAATGAGAAGAATGTAATATATCATGGAACAAACTCTGGCTAATACCAGTGAAAGAATGCAGAGAAGAGGGTTGGCATAAAGAGATCTCCCCAATCTTGATTCATGATATAACACTTGAAGAAATAGGGCCATCTTCATGACAACGATGATGAAAGTGAAAACCATTGATATTCTGTTGTTTTTCAAATGCATCAGCAACAACCTGAACATCAAAAGGCAGAAGATACAATGAGTTAAAAACTAAAACATCTAACATAACACTAGCAATTTCAACCTAACAGAAATACCTTCAAGATTTAAAATAATACATGTCATAGAAATGTAAAATAAGACCAGCAGAAGTTTCTTCGGGATTAGGACCAGTAGATAAATCCTGCTCTTTAGTTAAAGGACCTAAATGAGTCTGATAAAAAAAGATCACTCTTGTTCACTAGAATTGGGTGATTAATGGAATTTGATAATTTATCAATCATCAGGCTCATTACTCGATTATGTTCAACTAATTGATTATTCTCATGAGACTTGAATAGAATAATTGAAAATGGTAATAATTGGAAACACTAATTTCAATTAGTTGATTATTTTTTGTCACATTAATTGATTTAATCATAATTTAATTAACTGATTATTTTACAGATAACTAATCAATGTAATCAATTTTTACAGGTAACTGATTAACCAAGTTCATTGCTCCAATCTATTGTTCACCAATGTGAGAGAAAAGCAGATATACTGTTAACTAAGTGTCCACACAATTGGGAAGCCCAAATGGGATATCAACAGACAATACACCATTAAAAGCACTAATATGCTGATCAATGAAAGTGACAATACAACCATGGGATTTCTCTGAAAACTAGAAAAAAACCATGTGAACAAGTCCTCCAAAAATTTGAAGGGGTTGTAGAATTTTCTTCAGTAGCCATAGTTTTAACATCAGGACTAATATTATCGTTTGAATTCATGTAGAATAAACAAAGGCACAAAGTTTACACAATGATTGTCTACAAGAAAAGTCTGGATTGTGGTGGGAAGCAGAGTTTTCCTAGTGCTTGTGCCATAAATCACGTGGAAGGTGGGAGAATGGAGAACTTTGGATAAAGTGAGCATTTAATTCACTATGCCAAGGACATTCAGAAACAAAAGTCACGTAGTTATTGAGGTAAGAATCTAAAAACAAGAAGAGGCTTAAAGTATTTCAGGTTAAGTTTACCCAATTTGAACCTAATGTATAAAATTATAATCAAAAACTTTGTCATAAAATAAAAAATAGATGCCCACAGCTCTAGACTTAGAATATGGCAACAAAATGTTTCAGATCATTCTTATAACATTATAAATTTTCAACATGAAGATGAAAAAATGAATATGCAGACCAGCCTCCAATTTCTCCTGAAAATATCCAGTCAATATATTTGAAGAAGTTATAAGGTTCAAAGAGAAAGAAGATACACTATTACTGATCATTTAGGGTATTTCGATTGTTTTAACAATTTCTGATGTTTTGATAATTTTATAATGTGATGTATAAAACTACTAAAATTCAGGGGTGGCAGCAAGTGATGGAAACTGTGTGGTTAGGCTATTTCATTTAGTGGATTTTTTGAAGTATATAAACTAACTATATTTATTAATTGTTTCTTAATTGATGGTAATTTACTTATTGTCTAGATATTATATAGGGGTATAATGTGGTAATCAGAAGTTATTCTAACTGCCTGATTTTGAATTCTTTGGAGTTCAGTTTTGTGCTGGTTTTGGAACTTTTTGAACCAAAGTCTAAACAAAATAAAAAACAACTACAAGTGAAAATTTAGCACTAGAAGATCTGGTGATGTGAAACTATCACCATGTTTTAGAGATTTTGATCTGGTTAAGTCATGAATTCAGGGCTAAGAATCACTTAGCAGTTACAAACTGCATCGAGTAATTTAATTTGATACTAAAAAAAATAAAAAGTTTTTCATTATGTGTATATCAGGTAGGTACATTCTTCTCAAAATTATTTTACAGAGAAACCTCATTTTAAGTAATTTGTTAAAACTAGATTTTTTACTGAATAGACAAAACTGATCCAAGTTTTCAATACCATTTGCTCAACAACTTCAAATATATTTACACACGATGCTTACCTTTTGTGTCAGAAAACTCAAAAATTAAAGGAAATGATCCCTTTGCTCTTGCTATTATACAGTCCTTCAGCAATGCATCACTCTCACTGAAGTTTATTTCTACATAATTGGCATTACCTCCAAACCAATAAGAACGACTTTGACATATTATTTTGGTCTGATTGGAAGAATCCAACCAAACTCCTAACATCACAGCTTGACTTGATTCTTCTACCTGCAAGATTAAAAATAAGTTGTTTTTTTTTGTTATGAAATAAAGAACTCCATATTTCTTTAATTGAAGCTGTTATATTCATCACTGAAAAACAGTTCTAATATAAACATATTGGCCACTTTATTATGAATACTCTACATCCCAAATTTACAAGCACTTTCATGTAAATTTAAGTGTCAAGTTTTTATGGGCATTTTTTACAATTACACATCAGGTAAGCAAATTTCATGTCCTAAGATAATCTTTCACTAATCATGAATTTACATAACTTCTGTTTAGGGGACAGGTGCTCCAGCTAGTAGCAAATAAGAGACCAAATAGATAATCATTGAATTTCCTAATAAGTTGACCAACATGTATAAATTTGATTATGAACAAAATATTCTACATTTTTATGTGTATTTTACATTTATGCTCGATGAAAGTTTTAAATATTCTCATTTGGTAATATTTCAATACTATAGAAAATTGTAATGCATTTTAAAATACATTTACAAATAATTCTGTATTTACTATCAACATATGATAGGCTTTTTACCTGATAAAAATTATTTAAATTTCTCAAACAAACTGATGAACAGATGAGAAATTATACTTTTTCTTTTAATCATGTAAAGCTACTATAAATTTTAAATTAACATTTTACTTATTTGCAAATATCTTTCAGACAAATATTAATCATATAAAGTGGATCAATTTCTAATAATACTTACCTCCTCTCACACTACAGCTATAACTCAACTGCTAGGGTTCCTTCCTTTGCCCATCTAAGAATTGGTCTGATATTTTCTCGCTTGCTCCAGTCTTTTATACCCCACTCAATTGCCCTTGGCAATATTTATCTCATGACACTCTCCACCTATGTCATTGTGTCCTCTATCCTGGTACTGTATATAAGCACCTCATTCAGATAATGTCACTTTTCAAGATTGACTCAATCCCAGTCCCTGACACTGGCTCTTGGTGGGGAGAAAGGGTGGGAGAGTGTAAAAGAAGGTAAGTATTATTGGAAATACATTTTCCATTTAAGAAAATGTTAATTTCGAAAATATACTTATCTCTTCTCCTACTTATAGCTAGAATCCCATATTGATAAGGTGGAGGGGCCAGTGAGGGCATAATCCACACGGAAAGCATCTGCATAGATCATGGGTGTGTCAATAAAAGATTGGCACATTAGTGGGGGAAACCACTTTACATCCAGAACAGGTATGCTCTTTGCCCAGAACTTAATTCCTGTAAGATGGGTTAAATTTTACACGAGTTATCATCACCGTAGGCCAGGCCCCAACCAGATAGCCAAGGATGCACTACTCAAGGTTAGAATTAAGGGGTCATGGTACCTATATCCAACGTTGGACCACAAACTTTATATATATACACACACACATATATATATATATATACTTATGAGTATATCCCAACCTGTAGCCATAGAGTGATGCGTTGAGAACCACTGGAATCACAACAAGAAAATAAACAACACTGAAGTGGACAAACCTTCTTCTCAGCCTGAAGTCTGAAAGGAAACACCCCAGGCTCAGAATGATTGGATCGTGTATGGCTTACTCAACCTAAGGAAACAGAACTCATCTGGTCTGGAATTATGAATGCTCATCCTCACTCCCCAACCATGTTGACAAGGTACATTCCACTTGCCCTGAAATTATGGGGAGGACATGGAACAACTGTGCTCAACCAAGGACCCAGGATAGGACCACTCTGTGATCGGAATTTCGAGGAGACAGTGGACCCTCTTCCATGAACAATGTACTGAACCAATATTGATCAAAAAGAAGGACCATGCACACCCCAACCGGATAGCCAAGCATCAAATGTGAACCAGAATTACAAGTAGGCTGCCCCATAGGCTTGTGCCACTCCTACCGACATCTGGGAAAAAACATCCAGGAACCCAGGTAGGAGGGCCCCCAACTTTGCCCTTTTTCCAGGAGTGAAAGAAGTTACTCTAACACTCTGGAGGAAAAGCCTCTGTCCACCACCCCAGTGACTGGAAACCAGGTGTGGTAAGGACTCCGGAGCTCCACTTGTAGAATCTGGGGGTAATGCATGTTGGGGAGTCTTGAGGAACAGTACTCTGGAAACAGTGCAATAGGTGAACCAAGATCCCTAAATTTTTAAAAGCAACTGATTTTTAAAAGCAAACCACATAATAGAGTAATGGGAACTATTTTTTGAGATGAAAAACAAACCCAGCATAGGGCCCCTGTAGGCTGCGAGATAAACATTGGCTTCAAATTGTAGAAAGTTCCCTACCTAGTCATAGAGTAATGCATTTTCGGGAGTCCTGAGGAACAGTACTCTGGAAATAGTGCAATATGTTTTTAAGGAGGATGTAAGGACTGCAAAGATAACCAAGAGTAGTTATTGGGTGATTGCTATAGATTTTTATAGTATATTTTTGAGTATTGAAATTAGACTAATGTCGAAATGTAATTTCATATTGGAAGATCTATGTAGTGGAAGAAGTTAGGATGTAGTTGTCATCCTAACTCATGAGAGTTACTGAAAACAGTAACATTCCCTTGGATCCTTGAAAGGATTGGATTCAGCCCAATATTGAACTGATGAGACAATGATTACCTAAATCGATCAGTAATGAATCGAGAGGCTAATGTCAAGGGTCAGGACACAGGAAGAGGGGTAGAGCCTTGGAACATCTATTGTAGTATTGTTCTGATCTAACCAACACTCGAGATCTAAGATTTTGATCCTAAATAAGGAGACTGGGTGATCCAGTGGATCACTGTTCATGATCCATTGGTTATGCAGTGACCACTGAAGGAATCTCATGTGTGCTCATGCCAAAGGAGTTAGAGATTTGAGTGATTCGAACATCCCCAAAAGAGAAAGAACCATCTCCACAGGGGGAGAAGGAGATATGAGTAAAAGTTTTATTGCCTGTTCAATAGCATGGAGCTGGATGGGAGTCAGCTGAGCCCGACTTAGATACATGTTCAAAAAGAGCCCCAGATGGACGATGTATTGAGTTGGCATGAAAACAGATTTCTCAGCTCTGATAATAAAGTCTGCCTTGGTGGATTCTGAAAGGAGAATCTGAGTGTGACATTCCATCAACTGATGAAACAGTGCCAGGAGTAACCAGTCATCCATATAATGGTGTGTGCACAGGCCTAAAGAATAAGGTGACAAGAAAAAGCTTGTACTATACTGCAGAACACATATAGTGCAGAAATGGGTCAACTCTCTCTACCACCCCCTTGACCAGCAACTCTCTGATAGCCCTGGAATGAAGGTCCACAATCCGAGGATATGTTGGAGGTGGAAACACTGCAGGATGGGAGGGATAATGTTTGTGGAGATGTCAACTGAATGACCAACCATGACACAAGAACCTGTAGTACCCATGGATCTGTGGTAAATGAATTCTATATGTCCACAAAATATTATAACTGTACCCCCACAAACCCCACTGGCATAGGGTAGTCACCAATGCCGCTGGCAACAGTCTGCCCCAATGGGGGAGCCTCTTTGATAAGGACAAAATCTATACTGGGAACCAATGGATCTAGAGACTAATGTCAGGGGTCAGGACACAGGAAGAGAGGTAGAGCCTGTACTCCCTGTAGGAACCAAAGAAAGTCGAGAGGTCAGCAACAACAATGAAGAATGCAAATGGGTGATATCAGTCCTTGATCCCAAAGCTTCTGGAATGCCAGCAAACATCAAGGGGGAATAAAAGGAGGCTCATGTAACTCACAGAGGGTAGCAGCCAGTAGATGAATGCCTTCCAATAAGGCGTCTCTTCCCATTGACATACCAACCAAGAAACTAAAGACAGAGCAGAAGTTGACAACAAAGGTCCCAACTTGTCATCAAATTGACATGGTGATTATTGAGAGGCTTCCAACAAAATCTGGAGGGATGATAAATATCTCAGAACCATAGTGAGGGTCAGACAAATCCTAGAAAATTGTACTTTGCTCAAATTGATCATAAACTCCATTCTGGAACCCCACATTTCGGCAAAAGCAGCTCAGAACACCTGGAGAAACACCCACAGACCAAATATGTCTCCATCTGTTGAGTAACACTAAATATCAGAGGTGGGTTAAGAGAGGTCTGATTAGCCTCCATGCCAGAAAGAGTAACCCGGGAATTCATGCCTGAAAACGGCATGTCTTAATGGGAAAAAACATTTTTTTTAACGCAAGTCAACTGGGCAATGCGAAAATTGCACCCATGGGCTTTCAGTCACAGTACCTTTTTTGGCCAAACCCATTCCTAAATGCTTTGTCAAGAAAAAGTGATAGCATTATCTGAATGAGGTGCCTATATACAGTACCAGGATAGAGAGCACATTGATGTAGGTGGAGAGTGTCACGAGATAAATATCTCTAAGGGCAAATGAGTGGGTCATAAAATACTGGAGCAAGCAAAAAAAAATTAGACCAATGCCTAGATGAGCAAAGGAAGAAACCCTGGCAGTCGATTAATAGCTATAAGTGGGACAGGAGGTATGTTTTGGAAGATAGTAATTTTGATACTTACCCACCCACTCTTTTGTTTCATTGCTAAACCAATCACTTGGCATTAAGTTTCAGGTTCAATCCCATTCACATATTATAAAAAAAATGGGATTTCCACATATACAAATAAGAGCTGGTGCCCAGCTAGTAAAGTAACCATTGTTCAGTGGCAACTGATCAAACTGTGTTCAAACAATTTAGTTTTAAATTCATAGTCTAAAATTATTTACAATTGCCTTTTCTTATGATGAATCTTAGGAAGATAAAATTTTTCAGCCTCCTAAAAATGTCTTTTTTAATATATGGTGTAAAATATATTTGTTTTACTGAATTGAAATGCAAGAGTCTGCAAATTAGCAGAACCATATTTATTATCTGCTAATGTACAAGTAAAATTCTCATTTTACAAGGTGAAACATTTATTAACTTTCAAATAGAAACTAAGTTTTGTGCATTCTGCATACAGAATTAAAATTTACCTGATTTTGCACAAGAACTTTTTCACAAATCTGGAAAACTTCATTTTCATCTGTTATTGAAGAAGTTGCACAACAGAATGAACCAATACATGCACTCATGGAAAATGGCAGGTAACGAAAATCATCAGGTGTACAACATGCCAAACAGATTGTTTCATCTGCAGCATGCCAACCAAACAAAAGTCCAAATGTAACATCTGCTCCTTTGTTTTTTGTTTCTTTTACTGCTTCTGTTAATTGCTAAAAAACAAGTCAGCAAAGCAAGAAAACATTTCAAAACATTTGCAACAAAATTATATTTATTGATACAAAACTCTTCACCTATATATATCACCCCAAAAAAAATGTTACTGTACCAGTGGCAAACCAAGATACAATTCAGTGTAAAATACACATCACAGTAGATGCAAGAAAAAGGAAATCAGTTCCAAAAGCTAAAACACCTTCAATTTCACTTTTTTTTTAATTTAAAATTTAAGCAATTCAGAGACAAGGGGCCTGTTTATTCATTGAAGCTGTCCCATCAACTTCAAAAACAAAATCCAGCTCCAATAATTTATACATTTATTAAGCCTCCCTTAAACCCCATTAAATTTACTGCATTCATCACATCCAAAGGCAATTCATTCCAAAGAACAACACCCTGTGGGAAAAATAAAACTCTTATAAGATGAAGATGACTCCTACTTTGCCAAAATTTATATTTATGTCCACTTGTCCTACAATTCTCATCATTAAATTTGAGAAAGATAATACATTGATACTATCAATTCCCTTAACAATCTTGACAACCTCAATTAGATCCCGTCTAACTACTATTTTTTCAAGAAAAAACAACTTCAGAGATCTTAATCTGTCCTCATATGACAATCTCTTCTGCCAGATATCATCACAGTAGCCAATCTTTGCATACTTTCCAATAAATAATTCAGTGTACTTCTTAACATAAGAAACCTAAGATTGAACAGAATACTCCAAATGAAGCCTAATCAGTGAACTGTATAATAAAATAACCCTTTAGACTTATCAATATTTCAATAATTACAAACCAAAATATTATTTGCCCTCCCACTAGAAACAACACACTGCTTGGAGAGCTTGATCAACCAAAATAACAAGGTCATTCCCATCAAAATCATACTTATAATTTAAATTATGATAACCAAAATGTAATACCTTGAATTTATTATAATTATAAGCCATCAGCCAGTTATTTACCCAAAGCAACAGCATCCTCCTCACAATCAGCAATACCCAAGACCTTAATTTCATCAGCAAATATAAGCAATTTATTAACTATTCCTTTAAAGTAAACAGCAAAAGTATAAAGGTACCAACATTGAGCCCTGATGTACCCCACTTGTGATATTAAGCCAGTTTGACTGATCTTGATTTATAACAACCCTCTGCTTTCATCCCTCCAGTCATTTTTTAATCCAACTTATATCCTCCTCCCTACATACACCCATTGATATTTTTAACAAGCATTTTATGTGGCACCTTACCAAATGCTTTCTAAAAATAAATATTGTATTGGCCCAATTATAAGACAATTTTTTTATTAATAATTAGACTGTAAAACCATAGTTGCCTTGTAATCATGGCCAACCACAGGCCCCTACTCTAGCCTGTCACATTCCTAAATGTCCAGATAGCATCCGTCTATGCATGCACACCAGATGTTTGCTCAAGGTCATCACTAATTCTTGTAACTAATCCACCTGCAGGCAGGCTGTTCAGTTATAGTATTGATTTTCCCAACCTAAAAAAGGTCACTATGATACTCAATTTATTTATTTTTTACCACGGTATCTGAAAATGGGGATCACCTTATATTCGAGATCACTCTATAATTGCTATATATCAAACCCGAATCATCACCTTCATCAACACATGTAGTAACCTCTTCAAAGAATGTCAAAAGATTAGTAAGGTGATATTTTCCCCCTAGTGAAGCCATGCTGAGTTATTAACAATCTCACAAAACTATAAACTTTGTTAAACAACTCTGCAAATCATTTTCTATCAGGCTTTCAAAAACTTGTAAAACCAATGATGTAAGACTAAAATGCCTATAATTATCTGAATAATTTTATAAGCAGTAGCACTGCTTATATAGGGATGGCTTGGATTTTTCATCAGAATAGTATTTTAAATATCTCCTAAACAGATCCTCAGAACTTTACAATATTGTACAGTGTTTCCTTTTATAACAATATCTATGTAATGACTGAGTCACAAGTTCTGGAAATGTCTGTAAATATCATAGCAAAAAGTTTGAATTCCTTATTCTTCTTTCTTCTGCTTCTTTTTTATTACATGATAACTTCAAAACCAAAACAATGGTGTCAACTAATTTCACTGAGGTGACATAGTTTCAAATAGAGTATCCGCTTTTATAAGTATTATTAATAACTAGTAGTAATTTAAACAAATCATATTTCTAGTGTAAACGATGTTATCATTACCCCTTGAAGTTAGATTTCTTACAGAAATTTAGTGTTCCTTTAAAAAGCTTACATATAGGATGAAACAGGAATTACAGCAAGTAAGAGATAAACAATAAATATTACAGTTGGAACCTCAACGTATTCAGAACTTGGTTATAAATTCAACCGTCCCATGTCTATTGAAACACTGCATTATAAAACAAGCAAACAAGAAAAGAAAACTTTTCAAAAAAGGAAGTAAATGTAGGGATGGCTAATATCAATCCTTCAAAAACAATGCAAACAAGATAGTTAATTTGCATCATTCCTACATAATAGCACAGGCACACAGTGTATTGGAATTTTAACAGACAAAAATA